AATTTTAGAAAATTGGCATCATAAATTCCGATCGAATTCATGCTGAATTTTATTCATTCAGACAGTATTTAATCAAGATTTAGTATACTGAATTGGCCCTCCTTTTGCAGTGAAGGCCAAGAAGAAGAAGACAACCATTGCTCAGCAAGATACTGCAGCAAAAGGACTTAGCTAGAATCTAGGATACTGCGGCATCTTATAAATTAATATAAATATCACAAATATTATCACAAATAAACATTATCTTTATCTTCATATTTCATTCTATCTTATTATCTTATTGTGTGACTTCTCGCACATTACAGTAAAAGTGCTAGATTTTAGATGTGAATAGATGTTTTACAGGCAAATTCGTATATCACGTAATGCTGCTAATTTTGATTGATTTTAGATATATAGATATAGTCATGTGAAAGAAGACGATCTGCCTTGAAAGCCAATCAGGCACACTTTGTAAACAACTTTGAGGAGAATGTTGACAGTATTCTCCATGCTGATTACATGTGTTATATATGGAAGAAAAATAAGATATAAAATAAAAGAAGTGCAGATGAAAGTATTATGAGACTTTGCTTTATTAGAAGAAGTGAAAGAATCAAAAAGGAAATGCTGTTCTATTGCTATTTATATTGTACGTTTATATAGACATTGTATTTAGCTTGGTAATAATATAATGATATCATATAATGTCTGTTTTGCTACCATTATCTTCTATAATTTAGTTCTTATGTTTTTAGTGTTATTGACTAGAGTCTTAGTATTTGTCTTAGTATGTTCTTTATGTAATTTCCTTATATAAGGGAAGATATATCTTTTAGTATCATTACTAGTTGTCAGTAACTCAATATACATATTTATTGAGTGTTTGTACTTTTAATTTAAATCTACAATTATGTTGAATACAACAGGTTTACTGTTTTTGATTGACTGAAGATAAATATATTGAAAAGGGTTTCTTTTTAAAGCTACAAATGCTAACTATTGTTATTATTATTTAATAGAAAAAACACTGATTTATAAGAAGCATGCTTTTATATTATGTTTGTTAAAGTTATGTAAATTATTAGTATTATTATATTAATTTATTTTTGCTATTGTTTCGTGGTATTGAGTATTAAACAATGTTATTACATAGTTTAACCTGACAATATTGCTCCATCCCATTTTGTAGAATAATTGTTCTGAATATCATTTTGTCTTACCTCATTGTCAAGGATATTGCATATAATCTAGCAACCTGTTCACTGGACGCAAAACAAAATAGAAAAACCCAAATAAAAAACAGTATAAGCCTATCAATAGTTTTCCACAAAAAGTGAAAATAAGCAATGCCACCAATGCTGCTATTTTAAATAAAAAAAATCTACTGTCTTAAATTATTTTTTTAATAAAAAAACTATATTGCTATTAACTTTTTCATAAAAAAACCACACTATAATTTTCTTTTTTATTAAAAGATTACACCACAGTATGGTGAATATGAACATTAAACTGGCAAATGCTACGCTGTTTTTTAGCACAAAATTACATTAATTGGTTATATTTTCAGTAAGTTTTATGATAGGGGAGCCACTAAGATCTGTTGCAAAACTACTTACCAAAGTTGGTATGGCAAAACTACATTACTTGATAACTAACATAGCTCATTTAACACTAATCTACCCTGCTTAAGCATAGTATGGCTGGCCACCAAATCACCAGAAAATTAGTAGGACTGCCACATCAATTTCTTTCATAGTGACGTCCACTGATAGCCTAAGATTGATATGCAAGAGTAACTGGTTTGTTTTACCAAAGCCCATAACCAAAAATTGAAACAATCAGCTACAAATTGAAATCAACAGACATCAAATAGTATGGCTGGAACTATTGTTTGGTCACATACAGAAACAAGAAGAAAGTGATTATACACAACTTATATCACATAATATACAGAGCATGAGAGCACATTTAAGCCAAATAACCAGAGATCAACTATATATGTTCTCAAATATTCTTCTTTTCAACGAAACATGAACATTGCCAAACCATGAAAGCTGTGATATTCCAGAATTTACATTAATAGCTTCTATTGACAGCAACTCAACCAATACTCAAGTTTCTGGTGCCTGCTGTTATGTTTGCAATTCATTTTTATCTAGAAGAATTGGATCAAGTAATGAAACTGCTGTATGTACTGCCAACTCCAGACTGTCTCTTAATGGAAACAATAGATCAACTAGTATAGCTTTCTTTGTCTTGAACAAAAGTCTGTATTGCAGCATATATGTATTCCCACTATATCAACTAAGTACCTTGATTGGAAGTACTAGAGTTTGTTATTAGCCATGCTTATATGCATATAACAATTTCTAGTGATTTTAATGTCAATTTCACAAAAGAATCAACCAAGAAAGTCACTTTACTTCATTTCATAGATAGCAAAAACATGACAACTACACTTCCAGTCACTGTTCAGTTGACAACAAATCAAAATACTCTTATTGACAACATTTTTACAACTATGCCAGTTATAGATTCAAAAAAATATTTATTCTTGACTGGTTATCATATATCTTTGTGGGCAAAGTTTATGTAAACTATGATAATTATTTTATATTTACTTTTTACAATGCTTTTATTCTCTACGCTTTATATTCTATGTAAATACCAAAATAAAGTCACACACAAAAAAAGAGAAACTGAATATATTGAAATATAGAATGTTTTTCTTCATATAGACTTTGATCTAAGCTGAGATAGTTTTACTTTGATATAAAAGCTTTATAAGAATAAAATATCTAAGTAAACTTAGATAAATAGTGTTTTTTTCTTTTCATAGTATAGTTATTTCTTCTCAATACAGTTCTATTAGAGATACTAGTCTATCTTGTATATATCTATATTTCTATATTTATTTTCTTTATTATTTCATTTTTATTTTTTATCAATTTTGTTGTCATTTTTTATATTTCTATACTCAATAATTACTTTCAAACATATAACTAATATAATGGCTGACCTTCCAAAAGAAATGTGTCTAATATATAAAACTAATGGTCTTCTTTAGCACATGAGCAAAATTATTTAAGAATAGAAAAAAGTAAATAATTACAAATTTAGCTATCAAATTACTTTATGTAGTAGGTTTTATAACATAACTTTTACTTTGTTTTAAAAATATAATTTGGTGATAAACATTTGCTGGCCTCAAAAGGACTTGCTAAATAAATATCAAATGTCTTATAGAAGATTTGCTATTATTTTAGAGATACTTTCAATATTAGATGCAGTCTACAAAAGACTTTGTTTCAATTATTTCAATTCTTTTAATAATATAACTGTCTTTACACACTATCTTATATCTGTACAACTTATAAAATGTAACTTTTATAGGACAGTCGAGTAATAATCTTTACTTTTTACTTTTTAGAAAAATCGACTGCTTTCTGGGTTTATGCTTCTATATTTGGATTGAAAAGCTAATCGACTTGAGATAATTTGACTGATATACTAGAGAAGATCAAAATTATATGTCACATCATATTCAGTTCTTTGATTTGTGTACTTGTTTATGTTTTATCAGTAAACAGTTTATTAATATCACTCCCATATCAATTGTATGTCACATACTAATTAATTCTTTTACTTTGTCTTTTTTGCAAGACCCTACACATCATCTAAAATATATTTAGACTGACAGTTGTTGCTAGTCGACCACAACCATGTGAGCCCCTATTGTAAAAGGAAAATAAGAAAAAATCAATTAATTAGACTACCTGATTTTCTAAAAATAACTCTGAAACACTTACAATATATATTAAAATCAACGAACATAACAATAATGGACCATATCGGCGCAGACATAATATGAAACATTAAATTTTAATAAAGCGTAAATATAAGTGTCATGTACCCGCACGCATAATAGCGTGACTAGCACTTTATATTTATTTGTATTTATTCTATAGCTTTCAAAACAACATTTTTAAATGAAATTTAATTCATGGAGGATGAAACTGTAGTTTTACTCAATTCAACAATTCTTTTACAATCTCTCTTTTTTATATCTTATGTGAGGTCATATATTTTTTGGCATCTCTGCTTTTGTACTGTTAGATAACACTGTGGTAAATAACAGCATTTATAACTCCAGACTCATAGATATGTTGGAGAAGATTGTTAGCTAATGGAACTACTGAAAATGGCAAGATTTATAATTCCAGACTTGTAGGTTCTTCAGCAAATGCAATTTGTGAGATTTCAGATTGTTTTTTATCTAATTCAATCAATTGTTTTAATTAAAATACATTTATACTTTTTTTAATACTTTAATTTTTCTTATAATTGATCAAACAAACTTAATGTTTTATAGCAAAAATATTTTTATTTTTGACTTTATTAATAGTAAAAGTAATAGAATAAGACTTCTCTCTAGTCTTCTCATCTTTAGCATTGCATCTAATAAAGAGTACTAAAGAATAGTAGATGAATAATAGAAAAAGTATTTAAAAAAAAACTTTGATAATTTTAAATTAAATAATAAGTATAGAAAAAATCTAATTTTAATTGTAAGATCAATATCTTTATAAACTACTAGATATTGATTTAGTCAGATATTATAAAAAGAGGGTTCACTTAACATTATAAAAACTACAGATATATATCGTTCTATATATAAAATATATATATGTGCACTTATTCTTTAAGACTTTGATATAAAATTCCATGTTATAGGGTATTGTTATAGATTTCTTGCTTAGTATTGTTATTGTCCAAAAGCTATAAGTTATAAATCGGTTGATACTTTGTAAAGCCTCAAAGACTTAGCAACAATAGTAATAGAGAGAAGAAATAAAAAGAAAAAGACTTTGCGAAATAAAAAAAACAAGTTTATATTAAAAAAATATTAGTAGATATAATTGTTTCTGTCATAAGCTCAGATTTAAGATACAGATTTCATAGGGTTTGTTTGACTCTCTAGTTGATTTTTCTTTAATTAAGTAAATAATTCTCTTTATTCAGCAATTAAAATGGTTTCCTAGGTTGATAATGAGACTTTCATCTTCAAAATATTTCTCTAGAGTTAAAATAGAATAGAAATATTCTAAGCTTGGTAAGTGCTAGATGATGTTTAAAAAGTTTGTCATTTTTTTCTAAAATAGACAGCTTGTTTCAAATACTCATAAATTTTTTCTACAGTATTGTGAAGATTTTATAAAATAAAATCAACAGTAAAAAGATTGGAACGTATATAACACTGTAGAAAAAAATGTTGCTGTAAATTCCAAAAAATGTCAACTTTCAATAAAAAACTGACAACTATGTTTAAACTTCTATCACCATACCAAATATAGCACACTTTGAGCTGTTTTTGTTTTTTGAGATTTAATTCAAATACATATTTTTGATTTTTAATTCTGAATGTCATTTTAGGTGAAAATTGTATGTTGGACTGCATATCAATTCAAAAAGTTCAATAAAAGAACAAACACAGCCTATAGATTACTTATACTTTAAATATAGATATGTATAAGTTTTTTATACTAGACTATGTCTTTATTCAAAATCATCAAGAGATATATTAATATTGATATCAAGTTATATTTAAAAATTAGAATGATTATATTTGTACTTTGAAAGTAAAATAAATTAAAGGAAAGTGCAAGAAAAAAAACTACTGGTAGTGATGTTGAAAAGTCAACATAACATGTCAAATAGTCATATCATTAATATTATGAACTAGACCAGCCATCTGCCTGATGGACTCAATCTCAACCACCTTCATCTCACTAATTGTTTGGCTTTCCCATACAGGGAAGAGCAACTTGTCATATATCTATACACCTTGCAAACAATCAACTATGGTAAAGAGTCTAGTCTCTCCCAAGACAGAATGAGAGAAGAACTTTATAACATATCCGTACCTTTGAAAAATATAATTGAGATATGATTAATATTACAATAATGCAAGATATAACTTGTGTTACTTACTCCTTCAGATGTTCAAGTACAACAAGGTCATTGGCTCGAATATGCCTGCTGTCAAAAGAAGTCCGGACTCTGTACACCACATTGTCCTTCCATATCTTGGTGGTGCAGACCAGCTCAATGGTTTTGTGTTCTATTACTGTGCTGTTCTGGTCCCAGAGACAGGCCAACGAACTCACCAAATTGTGGCAGTTCATATTACATTCAATTGCTATGACAGCAAGAGTCTTTCTGATTGGGTTTGACCAAAGCTGAGGACCAGCAACATTGTTACTTACAATCTTAAAGTTGCTGGTCCTCCTATCAATTAATCTTATTTGAGCTGCCCAACCACCAAGACAATACTGTACCCCAGCTTTACAAAGGAGGATATTTTTCATGTTCTTCCCAGTATCCTTCCAGGACCAAATTGCAGCTCAGTATGCACCAATTGTAAGTTTGATTAGATGGCAGATATACACCTATAATAGACCCATCTCCCTCACCATGTAACCAAGATGAACTAGCATGTGCTGGTTTATTACAAATATAGTAGGTTTTAACCTTCTTTCTTGGATTTCACAATGAAGGAAGGAATGCCAGTGACCAATGACTCTATAAAGATGGTTAAAATATTGTTTAGAATGTATTTGACTGACTTATCTTTCCATGGCATGGATTTCTTCTTCTGTCACTTCCCATTGCTGAGCAATAGAGCATGCTAAGACTAGGTCCAAAACAGCATGTCTGATTCTGATAAGAACAAACTTATGGACCACAACTGTTGGTATAACAAACAGAAGGAAGCCGAGCTAGTTGACTGCCTTCTGTCTGCTGGTTGTTTCCTTCAGCAATCTCCAGATGCCAGTGAAGTTTGCTGAGATGTCTGGTCTGGACTTGCCAATACAGCTGTCAATCTTGTCAAGTCCAACATGCAAAGCAAATGTGTATATGATATCCTGTTCATCCTGGTGCTGTTGTTGTTGCTGCTGGTCAAGAACGGCCTGTTAGACTTTATTGTTCTCAGTCTTGTTACTCATATTAAATTCGCCATTCAATGCATTGTATAGCTGATGACTGATCCCATGGCCAATGAGATGCATCTCGTCAAGCCCAAAAAAAGCAGGACTTGTCAATGTGTGGAGATTCCTAAAAACATTGGGACCATTGACACCGTATCTCTAAAAAGAAGGTATTAATATTTCAATTATTCATTTATCATGTACTTACGTTTCCTTCAAAGTGATGGAGACTCTCCACAGCTCTCATAGAAGCAGGTACCTCCTTGCCAACGAAACACATGGTGTGAAATCAAGGAATACCCTTAGAAATGCAGGCTTGGCACCCATAGAAAGAATTATAGTGGGTCAGGTTCATCAAGTCTGACACGGCCGGATTATTGCCAGTTGCCATGACAAGATGAACCTTGACACTCACTTGCCCAGAAATCGTCTGAATTCTCAGACCAAAAGTCTGCAACATATGCAAATCTTCTACAATTGGTTCAAGAAAAGATGCTATGTTTTTTTGGGTGTTTAGGCCCAGGAATGATTGCCAGCTGAATCATATTTTCTCTCTCATATCTAAGTATAATTGATTAGAAATTTATGTATAGCTTCTAATATTGTACTTTAGTTTTGGATAAATACTGAGATTGATAACATGCACAACAGTTGCTGACATTTTTGAATTATCAAAAAGATTGAATTGATCAACAAACATTGATATCAAAATATCATTCTGATCAATAACATCACTCTGAACCAAACGTTTGACAGCATTACCATCGAGGATAACAGATGTTGTACAACCAACTTTATCTGAAAGATGGTTTCTGCCATATGCCATCTTGGTTTGTTTCTGGGCATTACCAAGCTTAAATCGTAATTGTTCAGAGAGAGGCACAAGCTGGAAGGTCTGCACAGGAATTAAAGTGCCTCTCTCATCTTGGAACCATCAGCTATTACAGTGAGGGCACTGCACTTCCTCATCTTCATACTGACCAGCTTCTACAGTGTCAAAGCAGATACAGACTTCCTGGCACATATTGTATGTCACAGGACGGACAGTATACTCCCTCTTAAGATGAGTGTTCATCTTGTAGTGTGACATGAGTGCATTTATGACAGCTATAATGTTGGTAAGTTTACAAGTTATGAATAATTAATAACGGATATATACTTGCATAAACCGCGTTCCATTATGTACTTATTCACAATCTTGACACACTTGTCAAAAACATTGCGAGATATATTATTCTCAACAAACATAGAGAATAATTCCATACTAGTTGCCTCTGCATAACTACTGGGCTCGTAAGAAGGAACTCGAGGAGACTTGCTTCAGTCACTTTCAACACTTTCAGGTTGGTTTAATGACTCTCTATGTTCAACGACATTGCGGACACAGAAGTAAACAGGACCAACTTCTTTTGTATATATATTTATGTGATTAGCATTTTTTAGAAGCTCATTAGACTAGTTTAAGGGACTGTTTTTTCTCTTACCAAGTGGAGACTCGATATCTGTAGATATATCTTGATTGAAATCAATGTCTACATCCATTAATCTTGCATGAGAGAAGATGTTTTCTTCTAATACAAAATCTCTTAAGTCGTATTGCCCATCACTGGACAAGTCCTCGGCATTGGCAAGAGTTGCGAAGGGTCTAGAAATATTATTATATCTAGCCAGGTTGGCTTCATACTCGAAATTGGAAAAATTGACATTAAATTCGTCATTGCTCTCTCCAGATGTTTGGGTAATCAGATTGCTGTTATTTATCTTAATTCGAGGTTTTTTTAAGACAATAGTCTGGACTGTAAGTGATAATAAAAAGGTTTAAGATGAAGGTTACAAGGAAAAAATAATGTTATATTAATGTGAATTTATATTTTAATTTTATATTATTTATTTAATACTGAACATTGTAAATTCATGCAATATATTGCATGATTATGACTGTGAATAATAAGAAGAATTTTTTCTTGTCAGAATCAAATTTTGTTTTTCCTTCCATCTTTTTTTTATTTTACACAAAGATGCAATGCCAAAACTTCAACTCAAAATCTCGCATAGAAGCTCTTGAGGCTACTGTAGCTGAACTCCGGGCTCAAATCAATAGCTCACAAGCAAACCAGAGTAGCATTACCCAAGAGCCTAACACTCTTCTACCAGCTCTTGGAAATGAAATGGTTTAAGAGGATATCAGCAAAGTCACCCAAGATATTGAGAAATCTGGGATAGACTCTCGCAGAAGGACATGCTTGTTTACAGCATTGGCTATAAAGTCTGCTTTGCAGATCCATTGCACTGGAGATGACCTGCAAGCTTCTGTTCAAATGTATCATGCAGCAGCTGAAATTTCTTGCAGGGTAATCAAAAAAGCCTTTGCCATATGCATTGGCAATGGTGACAAGATTCCAGTCCGGGGTGATCTGACAGCTATCCAGAAAAGAAGTCTATTGAAAAATTTTGAATGAAATGCTGCTGACAAGAATATCTCTCTTGCTAGATTTCAAGAATCATGGGAAGCTTACTCCATGCTCTCACAGAGATGGAAATCTGCTAGACTCTTATCATAGAAGCATTAAAATGTATTTTATACTTTGCGAAATAAAAGTAATTTAAAAATTCATACACTCTTAATTAATGTCATGTTTAAAGAATTGATGGATGTTTTTTTTTTTAGATAAAAATGATAAAAATGAAAACTTATATTTATGATTTTATTATAGAAATGTTATAATTAGAACTTCTATATATCTAAAATCAATCAAAATTAGCAGCATCACGTGATATACGAATTTGCCTGTAAAACATTTATTCACATCTAAAATCTAGCACTTTTACTGTAATGTGCGAGAAGTCACACAATAAGATAATAAGATAGAATGAAATATGAAGATAAAGATAATGTTTATTTGTGATAATATTTATGATATTTATATTAATTTATAAGATGCCGCAGTATCCTATATTCTAGCTAAGTCCTTTTGCTGCAGTATCTTGCTGAGCAATGGTTGTCTTCTTCTTCTTGGCCTTGCTCACCCAACTACTGCGGTTGGAGTAGTTGTTTCTGATTGGGTAGGATTGGAACTGAGTGCCAATTCCAATCCGCTCCTGACATTACTATGTCACATGGTATACCGAGATATTAACCCCTTGAATTTATTTTACAAACTATTGCCAAAAAACTTATATAACTATCAAACCAAACTCTAACTTTGAAAAAAAAAACCGAAAAATAAAATGTCATCTACTCAACATCGTTGTGCTGCTTGCCATATGCTTGGACATAGCAGAAGTACTCATAAGCAATGTCTCATGAACCCAAAGAACATTTCTCTCCACATTCCTCAAAAGAGAACTAATGTAGATGAATATCCTGCAGAAAGTAGCCAAAGTAACTATTTATTTATACACTTATGCGTATTACTGCAAGTGTTATATATATTTTTTAATAATAAATGTGTTTATAAAAAAATAGCTGCTGCCTTGAGAATAAGAAGTGAGCCTGTCCAAGACCAAAATTTGGACATAGAAACATCGACTTTTATTTCAGTTTCTGAGTTGACTGAATTTCCACTCGCAAATGAGACTATTACTGAAGTTCTTGAAGCAGTCATGGAAGAAGAGATTGAGGAGACTTCATCTGATGAAGAAGTGACTGGAAGAGAAGAAGAAGTCGAGGTCACTTTATCTGACGAAGAAGTGACTGGAAGAGAAGAAGAAGTCGAGGAGATTTCAACTGTGAATAGAGGATCAATTTTACCCCATTGTCCTCACTGTAATGGAACTGATCATCGCCAAATTACAAGCAGATTTTGTCCAAACAATAACAGTAGCAGAGCAAGAGGATCTAGAAATCGAGGCAGAGGCTTGAATAATATTGCCCGACTTCCAGCTATTTCAGAACCAGCAGTTGATAACAGGGGAGATATGGATATCGAGTGTCGATTTTGTGGGGCAATGATGTGGGCACATGAAAAAAACAGTCGTTCTTCTTTAAGAAGCCCCACGTTCTCTATGTGTTGTAACAAAGGAAAGCATGTTCTCCCCCAAATTGAGCCAACACCTACAGGAATTGCTGAGCTTTTGAACTATAGAACACGTGATGGAAAGAAGTTTCTTGAAAACATTCGAAGCTATAATAGTACAATGAGCTTTACTTCTTTGGGAGCTAAAATTGATACATCTGTTGGCAACAATATCAATGGGGCATACAACTTCCGGATTCACGGAACAATTTGTCATAGAATTGGATCTATTTTGCCAGTGACAGAATCTGATATTGCTCACCCAAAATTCGCTCAGATCTATATTTATGATAGTGCTGCTCAGATAGATCAAAGACAGTACCATTCCCCACAATTGGAGAGAAGTGTTTTGGAGAAGATTCAGTCCATTCTTATGGAAACAAATCTATTCGTACATCTCTTCAGAACAATGGATCGAATTTCTCGGGAAAAGGGACAATCTATAGATCTCACTTTGCGTTTAGTAGCTGAGGGGCCTCGGGATCAAAGACGGTACAATGCTCCAACTGCAAGTGAAATAGCAGTTCTTATTATGAATAATGAAGAGGGTACTTCAAGAGACATTGTGCTGCACACCAGAGCCAACTTCCAACAGAACATCAATGAGTACAACCGATCTTATGATGCTTTACACTATGTGCTACTCTTTCCACATGGTGAAGATGGTTGGACCATTGATGCCAGCTCATTGTCAGGAGAGCATGTCACAGTAATGCAATGGTACTCAAACCGTTTGATGTATCGACACAACACACAGCACCTCCTCCATCTTTTTGGCCGTCTCTTTCAACAATATATTGTTGATATGTATGCCAAAGTTGAGCACGATCGGCTGCACTTCATCACCAGCAATCAAAATCGTCTCCATGTAGATCTTTATAGTGGAATTCAGGATGCTGTTATCCATAACGATTGTAATCTTGCAAATCTTGGAAAGAGAGTTATTCTTCCATCTTCTTTTATTGGTAGCCCCCGGTATATGGCTCAACTTTATCAAGATTTAATGAGTATTGTGCGTCGTTTTGGCAAGCCTGATTTGTTCATAACTTTCACTTGCAATTCAAAGTGGCCAGAAATCACAAATTCCCTGTTGGCTGAGCAAAAAGCTAATGACAGACCAGATCTTTGTTCTCGGGTTTTCAATATGAAGCTCAAAGAGCTCATGATTAACCTTACAAAAAAAATATTCTGGGGAAAGTTTTGGCCTTTATATATGTCATTGAATTCCAAAAGCGCGGACTTCCTCATGCCCACATTCTTTTGATTTTGCGACCACAAGATAAACCAAAAACAATAGAAGATTTTGACAGAATAGTTTCGGCTGAAATCCCAGATCCTGAAACTGAGCCATTGGCATATGAAACAGTAAAAAAATGCATGATGCATGGCCCATGCGGAAAGAAATATCCAAAAGCACCATGCATGAAGAATGGGATCTGTTCAAAGAATTATCCTAAAAAGCTTTGCAATGAGACTAGCGATGGTGGAAATGGATATCCTATTTATCAATGCAGTCGAAATGGAAGAGTTATTAGAAGAGGGCCAAAGATCATGGATAATGGATGGGTTGTTCCACACAATAGATACATATGTGCAAAATACAATGCTCATATAAATGTTGAGATTAGCACCTCTGTTTCTGCCGTAAAATACCTCTACAAATATGTATATAAAGGACATGACCGTGCAATGGCCCATGTGCAGCCTACACCCACCAATTCCGCTCCACAACAACAACAAGAGCATGTAAACGAAGTTAATGAGTTTCTTGATGCTCGGTATGTCTCTGCTTCTGAAGCATGCTGGAGAATATTTTCTTTCAAGCTTCATCAAGAGTATCCCAGCCATCAACGACTTTCAATCCATCTGGAAAATGCCCAACCCGTATATTATAATCCATCTTCTAACCCAGAGGATGTTGCAAATTCCAGAAAAAACACTACTTTAATGGGATATTTCGACTATAATGCTACACACCCATCATCTGAAAAACTTCTTTACGTCGACTTTCCTTCTCTTTATGTATGGAATACAAAAGAACAAAAATGGACAGCACGTAAGAGGTTTGATAAAGGAACGATTGGCAGAGTTTACATAGTGTCTCCGAGAGATATTGAAAAATATTCGTTACGATTACTGCTGCATAATGTTAAAGGGGCCAAAAGCTTTGAAGACATACGTACAGTAGAAGGATGTGTGTATGAAACAAACCAAGCTGCATGTCGTGCTCTGGGATTACTTTTGAATGATGATGAGTGGAGTAACTGTATGGAAGAGGCAGCAGCTCATCAGATCCCATTTTCTTTACGAAGACTCTTTGCTATTCTTTTGATTTTCTGTGCAGTATCAGATCCTTTCTCTTTGTGGCTTGCTCATCGCGATTCTATGATTGAAGATTATCTTCATTTGGCAAGAGAAAGTAGTGGAATTCCTGCGTTAGCCCCCACACAAGATATGTCTGACAGATGTTTATGGGATATCGAAAGTCATCTATCTGCCAACTCTATGTCTCTCATGTTGTTCACTGGATTTGTTCTTCCACCAATGCCTGACATCCAGCACTTTAGCCCAAATGGGCAAGATGTTCAAGCCATCATACAAGAACAAGAAGATTTATGTGATCAAGCCCAGCTTTTGCCAGATCCAGATACATTGACATTCAATAATTCACAAAGACGTATCTATACAACAGTATTAAGTGCAATTGAAGAAAACGTGGGAGCCTCAAGATTGTACTTTGTCGATGGTCCAGGTGGGACGGGAAAGACATTTGTCTTTAATGCCTTGCTTCAAAAAACTCGCCAACAAGGAAAAATTGCTCTTGCAGTAGCAACAAGTGGAATTGCTGCATTGCTGCTAGACAGTGGGCGTACAGCACATTCCAGGTTTAAGATTCCAGTGCAAGTTGATCTTAACTCCTTATGCTCCATCAACGCAAACTCGCAAACGGCACAACTTATTAGAAGAACGGAATTGGTTATCTGGGACGAAGCTTCTATGATTAGTAAAGATGTTTTTAATACTGTAAGCAGATCCATGCAAGATATAATGAAGACTGTCGATCCATTGCTTGAAAACGTTCCATTTGGAGGGAAGTTGTTTGTCTTTGGAGGCGATTTTTGGCAGGTCCTTCCTGTTATACCCAAGGCAACAAGAGCTCAGGTTGTAAGCCAATGTATCAAGAAAGCATCTGCATGGAGAAATGTAAAAACCTTGTGGCTTACAACAAACATGCGAATTGCCCAAGCAAATAATGAACAAGAAACATTAGAGCTTAGGGAATTTGGAGCATTTCTTTTGCAAGTTGGTAGTGGTTCTGCCCACACAACAGGCGGTGATGACACCATCCCAATTCCGCCCCATATGTTACTTTCTGGATGTAATCCTGCTGATCTGGCCAAAGCAGTTTTCCATGATCTCTCCTCTAATGCAGCCAACCCTCATTTCCTCATGGGCCGTGCTTTGCTTACTCCTAAGAATAAAGATGTCAAGAAACTCAATGATATTCTTCTGAGCCAGTTTCCTGGAGAGGCACGAGAGTTTAAGAGCATCGACCAGGGAATTGATGAAGATGGTCAGTTGACATATCCAGTTGAGCTACTAAATACCATTGATCCTGGATCCCTACCACCTCACTCACTGTCCTTAAAAAAAGGATGTCCTATCATGCTTCTTCGCAATCTTGACCCAAAAAACGGCCTCTGTAATGGTACACGTCTGATTTGCAACTCTTTTGGAACATCTGTCATCAGAGCAACAATTGTGACTGGATCAAATGCCGGGCAAGTATCTCTTATTCCAAGAATAAAGCTTAATCCATCTGGATCAAATAGTGAAATTGAATTCCAGTGGTTCCAATTTCCAGTTCGTCTTGCATTCGCAATGACAATAAACAAGTCACAAGGTCAAACTCTTAAGAGTGTTGGATTATATCTCCCTGCCCCAGTATTCTCCCATGGCCAGCTGTATGTTGCTCTATCCCGGGTCAGAAAACCTTCTACAATCAAGATAATGCTTGATACACCAGCAAATTCCAACGAAACGGCAAATACTGTATTTACAGACAATGTTGTATTTAAGGAAGTCTTTGACATTTAGTAAAAAATTATATATAACATACACTATAAACTCATCTAACCAATTTTTTTTTGAATAATAAAACATCTATACATATCCTTTCTTTTCATATAATTCACTCAAATAAAATGTTCCTATTAATTGTGCTATACGATACTTAGACTTCCAATAGGGAAGGGTTTTATATTAACTTCCGGTAGGCTCTGGGGCCCCCCCAAAGGGAGGGGGGAGGGGGGGGGACCCCCCAAAGGGGGGGGGGAGCACCGCTCCCCTAGTCATTATTTTAAATACATACTAGGTACTCCGCTTCTCTCTCCTCTAAAGGGGAGAGCAACCCCCCTCCCTTTGGGAGGGGACCCCATTTGGCCCTATTATAAGTTCTATGTAATAGGCCCTACAACAAAGACCTATGTCACGCGTCATTATGATTAAATCAATATATTAGGTCACTGCTTTGAGTATATAAAGGTGCAAAATTTATTTATTATGTGTAGTTATAAAGAGTGAAAAAGAAAAAGATATAAAGGGCAGAAATATTTTTGATTAGTTTTTGTTAGTTTTTTTTTGGGATATTAAAATTTTAAAATATATTAAATGTGAGTAGTTATAAAGAGAGAAATATATAAAAAAAGAAGAGAGAGAAAATCAATTGGTCTTGAAGACTTTCTTGTACACAATGGTTTTTTGTGAATACTGTATCTTGTGACAAGGTATTGTTAGATAATGTGTCAATCATTATTTTAATTCCAGATGGCTTTCTCACACGTGAAAGGGCGACGTTGAGTTGGCCATGGGAAAACATTGGAGCTGGAAAATATAGACCCACACTGTCAAGAGTTTGTCTTTGAGCTTTGTTGATTGTCATTGCAAATGCAAGATGGACTGAAAACTGACATCATTGGAACTCGACAGAAGAAGTACATGTAGATGAATTGAGCTTTATCTTTGAAATAAGTACGACCTTTTCTTTGTGAGCACCAGTGACAATTGTTGCTTTAAGTATATGTATGCGGAATGAATTGCAAATTAATTGATTACCATTGCATAGACCGTTTTTAGGATCAATGTTCCGAAGAAGCATTATTGGGCATCCTTGTTTTAGTCATAAGCTGTGGAGTGTAGAGATCCAGGATTAATGGAGTTCAATAATTCCACTGGATATGCCAATAGGTCTTGTTCACTTATGCTCTGGTCTGCACTTTTGATTTCTCAGGCATTGCTAGGAAATTGATCAAGAAGCAGGTCATTTACTGTTTTGATGTCTGCATTCTTTGGGGGTGAGGATTGCGCGACCCATGAGGAAACTGGGTACAATAGCATTGGTAGAAAGGTTGGGGAATACAGCACTTGTCAGATGGAGGAGATTACGGCTTTTAATAAGCATCTCAGAAGGGACAGGAATCGTGTTTTCATCACCGATTGTATGGACGACACCACTTCCAACACGCAAGAGAAATGCAGCAAATTTTTGGAGGTCACTTCTTTCTTTTTGGCTACTTGCTTGTGCGATTCGCATGTTTTTTTTTTCTCAAGGGAAGTGTTTTGACATGCTTCTATGCTTTTGCTCGATTTACGCACTGCAAGACAATCTGAGATCTTGATGCTCTGGGAATTACTGGTAAAGTTTGGCAAAAATCTCTACCAAAGACAAAAAGCTTGCTACCAAATGGAACTGTTTTGAGTAACAGGTCTACAGTTTTCATGATGTCTTGTATCATATGATTTAAAACATTGAATATATCATTACTAATCATGGAAGCTTCATCCCAGATTACCATTTCGGCTTCTCTGATTAGCTTGGCAGTCTGGGAAGTGACAGGGATGGCACACATTGAGTTTGTGTTGACATTGATAGGTATTTTAAATTTGGAGTGGGCTGTCTGACCACCATCTAAGAGCAATGCGGCTATTCCACTTGTAGCAACAGCAAGAGCAAACTTTCCCTGTTGACAGACTTTATTCAGCAAGGAATTGAAAACAAACGTTTTACCCATTCCACCTGGTCCATCAACAAAAAATAGTCTTGGTGTGGTTGGAGGTGCATCAACTGCTTCTATAACTGTGTCATATACGTCTTTCTGCTCTTGATTGAACACAAAATTGTCTAGATCAGGTAACTGGAGAGCTTCACAACAGAGATCATGTTGCTACTAGATTAGTGTCTCTAATCTCTGTCTTCCAAAACTCTTTGTAGATATCAGCTGGTGGAGAAGGGAGGACAAACCTATCAAAGGCTGCAAGGGACAGAGAGTTGGCAGACATATGACTCTCAATGTCCCATAAACACGTATCATACATTTCTTGTGCAGGCTTCAGAGCTGAATTGGCTTGCTGCAATCTTTCAGTGTGCAAGTAATTCTCTACCATAGTAGATTTGAAGAACGTCCAGAGAGCAAAGGGGTCTGACACCTCACAGAACACCAGAAGGACTGCAAACAATTGTCTTAGAGAAGAGGGCAACTGGTAAGCAACTGCTTCTTCCATACAGTTTGTCCATTCTGTGTCATCAATTAACAGCCCCAGGGCCCGGCATGCTGCTTGATTGGTTTTGTGCAAGACACCTTCGACAGTATGCAAATTCTGGAAGCTTTTAGTGCCATAAACATTCAATAACAAAATTCTCAGAAAGTATTTTTCTGGGTCTCGTGGAGAAACAGCATACATTCTTTCAATTGTTCCTGTTTCATAACACTTATGCCAAATCCACACATATTTCTTGGCATGCCAGACATAATTTTGAAGAAAGTTTTTATACAAGTGCTGATGCGAGTCTGTATTCTCAGCATTATAAAATAAACACGATGTCAATGTTGTGTTTACATTGACTTGAGACAAAACCGCCAAGTTCATTGAATACATGTAATACACCTCTTGCAAGTTTTTATGATGTATTGCCAATCTTTAATGCAAAGGGAACTCTTGATGCAGCTTGAATGAAAAGATTTGCCAACTACTTCAGAGGCAGAGACATATCAGACATTCAGATATTCATTGATCTTGTTGATTGCTTCTTCTTGCTGTGGCTGTGTTGTAGATGAAGAATCAGTAGCAGGAATCGCAGGCTCAATTCTTGCTATTGCTTGGTTGTGGCCTTTGTAAACATATTTATATAAATATTTTACAACATGAAATGAGAAACTAATTTTGACATCGATATGGGCATTGTATTTGGCACATATATATCAGTTATGAGAAATCACCTATCTGTTATCCAGCATGTACAGCTTTTTCTTCACTTTTTGCCCATCCTCTCTTCTTCTGTATATCGGATATCCAGTTCTATCCTCAATTGTTTCTGTTGTGGTGGTTGAAGTTGAAGAAGTTTTTAAGAGGAAGAATTCAAGATTTGAAATTAGGAACGAAGATTCGTGAGAACTTGTGTAGGTTTTGTTTATTGAGAAAGATTTTGTATCAAAGTTTGACCAGGTTCCTACACTGAACTACTACTGCTATTTATATTGTTTTGGATTGGGAAAATTATATGACTGGGGTCAGGTAATCGATCCTATCTGAGCCTTAATCAGAGCAACGTGATCTTGGGATAATTAATGTATGATTAATTATATAAATGTGTGTAGTCCCAATGAAGTATTAACATCGAAAGTAAATGTGTTTATGAGTTATAATTATGCTTATAATAATCCACTGATGTATCCCATATTATGGTGATATCATCATATGAAATATAATCACTATCATGCATGCTAAACCTGTGTGTTAAATAATAAAGTAATCGGTAGACACCTTTGACTGGAATAGCTGAGGCCTTATATTATTTTCTTCAGACTTATTCTCAATTACAGCAGTAGTCAATACTCATTTACAACATTATCCTCCACCAGATTCAACAATACCTTTTGTTGATTCGGCAAAACATCTCATCTTAACTATTTATTAATTTGTCGAATTGCTCAATTTCATTTGGGTCAATTACGCTCATAATTTTTTTTTATACTTCAAGAGATCTGCACTGTAAACTCAGCTCCGTGGATTACGTGTTTATTTTATCAAATTTTTTGTTGCTCTTCTTTTGGACATTCTTTCTTCTCTACTCAGTGCGGTAGGAAGCTTACTTCCATTGTACTCTTCAATGCGATTCCTTTTTATTTTACCATCATGTCTTGGAATTTGAACTGTTTTCTTTAATGAGGCTGCACTCTTATTCACTAATTCCGTGGCTCTCTCATTCTCTAAACGTTCGATTTCTCTGACCTTCTTCCAATACTTTTCTATTATTGTGGGATTGGTAAAATCGTTAGCCATTTGCCATGTGTTTGCCCGTTCACCATAACCAACCCATTTTACCAGATATTCTCTTTCACCAGCAGCATCACGATGATCGCGAATGTCTTGAACTTCATAGAGCTCATTCTCAATTGTAGATTCATCGATGGTAACCATCTTGAGTTCTGAGGGTGTGTAATTTCGGTGCAACAATTCTCCTTGCTCATCCTTTAGTTCATACGATCCTCCTTTATTTCTTCGAACCACTGTATAAGGACCTTCATAGATTGGTGCCAATTTATTTGGACGATGTGGTAATCTGACCCTTACGTGTGTTCCTTTGGGGATGTCTATTAAGATGTTCTTGTGATTGTATTTCTTTTTTAACTCTTCGTTGATCCGCAAGACTCTTTCGTTTATGGCAAGGAATATTATTTTATCCATATATTCAATCTGCTTCTCCAATTCATCAATTGTTACTGTGTTTTTGGGAAGAGAGAATTTTGCTTTATCACCATACTCATCAGGTACATTAACTCTGCAAGCATACATTAGTGAAAAGGGTGCACTCAGTGTCTTTTGAGGAATATGTCTGTTTATGCATAGCTGAACAATTGGTAAATAGTGACACCAGTCATTGCTGTTCACTCTCATCATTTTCCGTACAGTATTCTCTGCAACTTTCACACTGGCTTCAGCAATACCATTTCCTTGTGGATGATATGCCGTTGAATATCTTCGATCAATACCAAGCTCTTTCAATAGGCTTGCCATTAAAGAATTTCTAAATTCCAACCCATTGTCACTTTGCATTACTTTGGGAAAACCATAATCTCCAAATATTTTTATCAATGCCTTAGCTATTGTTGTCGAGTTTTTGTTTGGTAATGGTCTCAAGATGATATACTTGGAACAAACATCAACTAACACTAGCATATACGTGTGACCATCCTCTGATACTGGGAATTCACCGCATAAGTCAATTGCAACATGATTAAATGGTCGGAAAGCTACAACATTGGTCAATGGGTGATATCCTCTTTTGCTGATATTGTGCTTCTGACATTCAGAGCAAGAACGAATAATCTCCTTTGCTTCTTCATATATATTAGTCCAATGTAATCCTTGAGAGTGAAGATCATTCACCATAGCTTGACTACCAAAGTGACCAAACGAATGTGCTTCTTTTAACAAGCCATTTCGCTTTTCTTCAGGAGGCGACATATAGTCGGAAGTCTCTGATACATTTTCGATGAGTTGTGTAGCAAGTACATTTAGCACTTTGTCCTTACTGTACTTTTTCTTACGAATAATAACTTTATCTTTAGATTGCAAGTGTTTTGTTCTGATTTTTCTCAATCCATCATCCTCCACCAGCTTGTAACTATCCTCTGGAGGATACAAGCGACTCAACAAGTCTGGTAGTTTATTCAACAAACCAGGAATATGGACCACCTTAAAATCAAAGTCAAGAAGTGTCTCAATCCAGCCAATTATCATGGGATTAGCAATTTTTTGTGTGTGAAGATAAGTGAGTGCTTTATGATCAGTAAAAATGGTGAACTGTCGGCCCCATAGAAATGGACGGAATTTATCAAGCGCCAAAACGACTGCATACAATTCTCTTTTGGTGGTACTCCATCGCCGTTGGGATGGGCTCAGGGAAGTTGACACAAAACTAATATACTTATCACGCCCTTGATCGTTGCGCTGAAAAAGCAGGCAGGCTACTCCATAAAGGGAAGCATCTGTGGCCACATACATTTCACGTGACATATCTGCGTAATGAAGAATTAAATCCTGATGCAGTATGTCCTTTAATGCTTTAAAGCTTCTTGTCTGCTCATCTGTCCATAGCTCAGCTACATTGTTGGCATGACTTAATCGTGAAATAGGTTCAGCCACCTTCGAGATCATGGGAATATAGTCTCTGAAGTAATTAATCAAACCCATAAATTGCTGAATTTGTTTCGCAGTTTTAGGAATAGGCCATTTATCAACGTTTGTCAACTTTCGCTTATCAACCTTGGTGCCTGTCTCATTGACGACAAAACCAAGCAATCGCACTGAATGTTGAAACCAGACACATTTATCAGAGTTTAGAATCAACTTCGCCGATGTCAATCTATCAATCACTATTTTTACATCCTTAACATGCTGCTCAAATGTTTCGCTAGCCACAATACAATCATCAACAAAATTCTGCACACAGTCAATTTTATCAAACAAAGTTGCCATGACATGTTGAAATTGTGATGTAAGCATCTTCAAGCCAAAGCAGCCTTTAATGAAGCTATATTGTTGCCCATCTAAATGAGTGAATGTTAATTTATGAACATCTTCAGGTGCAACTTTGAAACGATGGTAGGCATTCGATAAATCCAATGTGGTGAAAAATTTCTTTCCACTCAAATTCTGGAATATCGTTTGGATTTTAGGAATTGGATAGTTGAATGTGGGAGGTAGGATCTGATTCAATAATCGCACATCTAGACAAACTCGGTGACTCAGAATCTCTCCAGCTTTGTTTCTTTTAGGCACAAGCAACATAGGACTGTTGAAGGAAGTATTGGTCTTGGACTTGACAATCGTGCCTGTCTCAAGCCATTCTTTTACTTGTTTATCAAGTGTTGGTCGTAGAGCATGGGGAATAGGATATTGACGTCTATAAGCTGTGGCGCCTTCTTTTGTGGGTAATCTAATTAGAGATTCTGATAAAGGACAAGAGGACTCGACTGGGATTTTCTTATTTTCATCCAGTGAGGCCTGAATTGACTGAATAAATTCTGCTCGCTGTGTTTCCATACCAGCTGGCAAATTATCCAGTTCAAACTTTTTCTCTTTATCGATATTTAGATTCTCATACACAGCAGCATAGTCTTTAGCGTTATCTGAATGAATATATTCTCCTTCGATATTGTATGCAACATTAATCAATCCGATGTTCAATTTTGTTAAGATATCTCTTCCAAGAAGAATATCAAAATTAAATTCTGTGTTAAACTCTAACACCTCGGATGCATGCTTAAACGTAATTCCATTCACATATTTAAAATTTAAAGGATCAGTTTTTCCCAATCGCTTAGTACCACTATTCTTTGACAAGAAATTGAAGGAACCATTTGATGAATTTGTTTTATTTATATTTAAATTTTCATTCAAACATTGTAAACTAATGAACGTGCGTGCACTGCCAGTGTCAATCATTCCAAGTAGTTTGTGGTTCTCTACAATAATAGGAGTGGTTAGATTAAATGCATCATTGGCTTTAACCCTTCTCTCAATTTTGTCAAGTAGGTACTTACAGTCGAAAGACATGTCTTCGAGTTCCAAGTCGACACTGTCTTGGATCGCCTTGAGCACTTGCTCAGACTTCTCCTTGGCAGGGACCTGCGAGACCATTAGGACTGGCTCACTGTCCTTACAGACGTGGCCACGGAAGTAGTTTTCTCCACACTGCCTGCAGGGGTTGCGCTTGGTGGGGGCAGCTACTTTGGCCTTGTTGTTGGCCAGGGTGAAGCATTTGCTCGACTCATGTGTAGTATTCTTACCATGGTGCGAGCAGAAGAAGGAATGCTCCGGCTTACTGATTCGGTGCTGCTGGTTGTTGCTGGAGTGCACCTTCTTGCGAGGGTATGCCTCCATTCTCTTCTTATCCATTCTCCTCTCAGTATGCATGTTGGCACCAGGAATGAGTTGGGTAGCTTTGGCATACATGCGATTGTTGTTGCCAAGGATGTCTCTGCCAATCTGCGTCAACTGCTCCACAGTCCAATCTCTTTTGGTCTCGCCATTGAAGTCCAATCTGGTCATGGTGAGCCGCAAGAGTGTCTGTACTTGCCTAGTCAAGGAAGCGAGGAAGCGGTCGGCAACACGAGCATCGTTTTTGGGGAGGCCGGCATCATATACAGCCTGAAGGAACTTCTTGGAGTAATCTCCAATCGACTCAGAAGGAAGCATTACCATGGTAAATACCTCTTTTACCGAATGGGATGTCACAAAGCGCGATCTATGTCTTGCTGTAAAGCAGATCTTGGCCACGTTTCAATCTACACACTTCTTCAAATCCATCTCTACCCATCCATCGTCACTATGAGGCAAGCAGAGCGGCAAAAATCTCTTCCAAACTAGTTCAATGTCCTGAAGGGACGACTCAATAACCTTTTGGAAGGTGCGAAGGAAGTGGTCTACTGAGTGAAAGACCTCTTCATTCAGGAAGGATCTAATCACATCGTCTGCCAACTGGAACTTAGGAAGATCTCTTCTATTAAGAGTCAACCATCCAGTGCGACTGCTCTTCTCTATAATTTTCACAGAAGGCAAAAGGTACTGACTGCATGCTATTTCTATATCTATCATTTCTTTGATGCGTCTGACCTTATTAAGGGCTAATTCAGCTGCTTGCTCATCATTCATAGCGTGAGCAGCGCTGACAGCCTCTCCATGCTGTTGAAGTTCTAGTCTAAGTTTCTCTGACAAAGACAAGACTGTTGTAGCAGCATTCGCTACCAAGGGACAAAGGGGAGAAGGAGCGACAAATTGTCCAGGGGTGGAGCTGGCAAAGGAGATGTTGTCACTCAGACTGGCGATGAGGTCCTCCTCAGTCATGACGGACATGGCATCCTCATCATGAGCAGGGATGCTGGCGGCGGGGTAGTTCTCAGCAGAGGGGTTCATGGTAGTTCATGAAAAAAAATGTTGTGGTGGTTGAAGCTGAAGAAGTTTTTAAGAGGAAGAATTGAAGATTTGAGATTAGGAACGAAGATTCGTGAGAGCTTGTGTAGGTTTTGTTTATTGAGAAAGGATTTTATATCAAAGTTTGACTAGGTTCCTACACTGAACTACTACTGCTATTTATATTGTTTTGGATTGGGAAAATTATATGACTGGGGTCAGGTAATCGATCCTATCTGAGCCATAATCAGAGCAACGTGATCTTGGGATAATTAATGTATGATGAATTATATAAATGTGTGTAGTCCCAATAAAGTATTAACATCGAAAGTAAATGTGTTTATGAGTTATAATTATGCTTATAATAATCCACTGATGTATCCCATATTATGGTGATATCATCATATGAAATATAATCACTATCACGCATGCTAAACCTGTGTGTTAAATAATAAAGTAATTGGTAGACACCTTTGACTGGAATAGCTGAGGCCTTATATTATTTCCTTCATACTTATTCTCAATTACAGCAGTAGTCAATACTCATTTACAACATACACTTTACTCATACTTTCATTTTGGACATTTATATCTTTAATAGTTTAGAAGATTCGAGCCTAATTATGATCAAAATGAAGTTTGATAAGTAATTTACCATTAAAATCTATTAGCATTGATATATTTACCCTATGTGATATTTCAGGTACGAAACAATAGAAAAATAATATATTTCATAATAGAGATATATAGAAATACTTTGAGACTATATATCAGTTGTCCTTTATTCATAAATAAAAAGTATCTCTTTTTATAAGAAAATACAATCTGCTCTTGTTATTACGTCTTAGTTTCTTAAGGCTTTCTTCCTTTACTATATTTGGTTATTAGAGTGTATTTACTGCTTAACTAGTGTTGGTGTTACAATTATGACATCAAGTCATAAATCATACTTCTTTAGCTCTTAGCTATTCGTTTCTCTTTTACACTAGAGCTTTAGAACTTCCTACTAGATTAGCTCTATATTGCTCTGACAGAGTTTACCTGGCAGTATGATATAATTATCTTAACACTCTTTAAGATATTATCTACAGTACTAACTATAATAATTATTGGTCTAATTACTTAATCGTTTATATATATTTTATACTGACAAGATGATAGCTAATATGCTATCCCAATATGAATATGTTTTTATATGTGATAAATTCAACATCCAAGTGTCTGGATCACCACACCCCAATATTCATATATATAGCAGAATTAATCTGCAACAGTATTATTTAGTATAAGAATTACTAAATGTACCATTGATTTTATGATCTTGATTGTTGTGGTGGTTGAAGTTGAAGAAGTTTTTAAGAGGAAGAATTCAAGATTTGAGATTAGGAACGAAGATTCGTGAGAACTTGTGTAGGTTTTGTTTATTGAGAAAGGATTTTATATCAAAGTTTGACCAGGTTCCTACACTGAACTACTACTGCTATTTATATTATTTTGGATTGGGAAAATTATATATAACTGGGGCCAGATAATCGATCCTATCTGAGCCTTAATCAGAGCAACATGATCTTGGAATAATTAATGTATGATGAATTATATAAATATGTGTAGTCCCAATGAAGTATTAACATCGAAAGTAAATGTGTTTATGAGTTATAATTATGCTTATAATAATCCACTGATGTATTCCATATTATAGTGACATCATCATATGAAATATAATCACTATCATGCATGCTAAACCTGTATGTTAAATAATAAAGTAATCGGTAGACACCTTTGACTGGAATAGCTGAGGCCTTATATTATTTCCTTTAGACTTATTCTCAATTACAGCAGTAGTCAATACTCATTTACAACAATCTTCATCATTTCTATTGTTGTGATATCATTGCAAGAAATAAGATAAAAAATAAACAAATTGTTCTGAGATAAAGAGTATGTAAAGCTCTCTTTTATGTTGTACAGATATCACTAGAATCTTTTTCACAGTTTTATTTTATATACTAAATACTTACTAAAGCAATGAATATGTCTTCTTCCAACAACAATCAGCAGAGAGATAGATTACCTGCACAAATACACAAATGCAATCAATGTGTCCTGTTGTTTAACACTTACTATCAGCTTCAGAACCATAAGAGAGTTCATGAAAGCAATTTAGCATCAGCAAATATCATTTCACAACATATTGCAGAGGATATTAAAATGCAAAATAATATTAGAAATAACATTATTGGCGATAATGAATTAGTTAGCAATTCAGTTAATAATAATCAGTGTAAATTATTAGAAAGTGATCAGAATACTCATTTAATAATGCATTATATATTATGCTGTGAACGCAATGGAGATTGACAAGGATATATCTTATAAGTGCGGTTGTCATTTTGAAGACAGTGAGGGTGAAGCTCACATTTACTATAGCAACAGAATTGGTAGCAATACCTTTACAAAGGCCGAGTTGATGAGTATTCATCTCTCTCAATTGATGCTTCGGCACAGAATTTCCAGGGCAACTTACAGAGACATTGTCCAATTTGTTAATACAATCATTCCAGATTACAATGAAATTATGTTGGGTAAAATAGAATATTTATGTTATCTTACATTTTAATTTCAAATTTCTAATATGTAGTGATGTTGTTCCTTTTTTTTAGAACCTGGGGCTAAAATCAGCCACGGCAAAACTGTTGATGCTTTGCTCAAGTCCAAGTCAAGCGTCAAGGACTATGAGTATGATGTCTGTCCTAATGGTTGCCCATTGTATGGTATTAATGACAATCAGAAACCTTGCATTGACTACAGAAAACTGTGATACAAGACTGATCCTGAGCAAAGTCAAACACCATCTGCCAGTATGAAGCTCATGTCAGTCAGTGATATGTTTTCTCAAATGCTGACTGATCCAGCTACAAGAGAACTCCTCCATTACAGGGCAAACCGGGAATCTGTAGCTGGTCAGCTCACCAATATTTTCGATGGTTACAGTTACAAGCAGTTGATGCAGCAAGGCCTGTTCTCAAATCCCGACGATATTGTCATTAGGTTGTATACTAATGGTTTCATTAACCAAAAAAAGGGCAAGAGTTCGTACACCATTGTTCATGCTGTTGTATTCAACCTTGTCCTATCAATAAGGTAATAAATCAATTAATATATTAATTTCAAAAAAAAAGTTACTAATAAAAAGCTTAGATACACAAATGAATATCTCTTGCAACTGGCAATCTTGCCTGGCCCCAAGAAGCCTACCCACTTGGACTCTTTCCTGATGCCAATCATCAGTAAAATAAAAGATCTTGAGGTGCATGACTTGGTGATCAAGAGCAATGGAGTTGAGGTTTGCCATGCCAAGATCCACTTGTTGCTTGCTTTTGGTGATATCCCAGCTGTGGCTGACATGACACACATTGGCTCACACGCCAGTTTGTTTGGTTGCCGAATCTGCGAAACAAAGGGAAAAGCCCCAGACAACAGATGGCACAGAATGTACTTTGAAGATAGTTCTGCTCCTTTGCGACCTTTGGAAGACTTCAAAACTGGCAATCCTGTAAGTATATAACGGTTTAATTAGATTTTTCTTGTACTAAATAATTGCTTATAATAGATAAAAAAATATATACCAACCAAGCATCTTTAGTGAGCTGTCAACTTTCTCCAGATCTTCCTTCTTTGCACTGGATGAACTTCATTTAGTTGCAAGAGGAATTGGAAAGCACATTTACAACTTGATCACTGTGTCCCTTACCAAGGAGACAAAATTTTTTTATACCCATCCAGATGATACCCTCTCCACCACAGAATACCCATTTTTCATACCAAGAACTGGTCTTGTGACAATTGGCAACTGTATCACAAGTTCAAGACCATATATATCAGTATTATTCCAAGGCAGTTTTGATAATGTCTTCTCCATAATTGACAGCACTCATGCAGTAGATTGGCTTGACTTTCTTCTGTACATTGTTCCCACTCTTGTTGTTCCGTTCTTACCAAACAGGGCTGTGAAAACTGCGGTGTTGTCACTTGTCAAAGGTTGTGCACTGACATTGCAATGGACGCTGACTTCGGAGTTGCTGGATGAGATGGATGTGCAAGTCATAATGCCTCTAACACTATATTACTATATACAAAACTAATCACAACCTTTTTTAAAAAATAATAATAACAACAACAATAGACATTTTAAACACTCGCACCACTATTTATTGCAACATGTCCAGAACAAGACTATATCTCATAGTGTCTTCAGACCAGTGCAGCACTATCTTATGCATATATCATTCATTGTCAACTAGCTAGGTCCACTTCGATGCTACTCCACTCGATCAATAGAGAGAGTAATTGATATCTTTTCCAAACTGATCAAGTGTAAGTGCAAGGGTGGCCGTAATGCCAGTTTTCTTGTGAAGTGATTTACATTGCATAACTATATTAACATGGCCATCAGTATCCAGAACGAAATTGATCTTATTCAGCCCAAGCTATATGTTAGACAAAGTTATATACAGTGAGGGGCAAAAAGAATCGCCTTTTTTTAAGATCCCGAATGTTCTCCAAAATATATCTATTTTTCATGCTTAAAGAAAAGAAGCAAATACAGCACTTACAGCTCCCAAACTACTTCAGATTAAAGTTGAAAGCACTTATTTTTATTATGTTAGAGAAGAGTCTTTATTTTAGTACTTGGTATTATGACCATTTGCATCTATTACAGCTTGCCATCTTCTCTTCATGCTTGGGACCAAACTTTGCAAATACTTCTGGGGGATTAACTTCCATTCCCTAATTACGACTTGTCTCAAATGATAAACGCTATACAGGTTATATCTGTTCATACGTACTCTACGCTTGAGATATGCCCAGAGATGCTCGATTGGATTCAAGTCTGAACTTTGAGGTGGCCAGCTGCCCAAAAGCTTCACCTTGTCTTTTTTTCCATTCTCTTGTCAGCACACTCACATGGCAGCTAGCATTATCCTCTTGCAGTAGAAATCTTCTCCAGCTATCTTTCTCTTTGAATGCCTTTAAAGAAGGGAGGTAGGCTCTTTCCAAGGTTGCAACATACTTTGTGGAATCGATATTTCCAGGCACAACGTCTAAAACTCTGACAGCCTTTCCATAGAAGCACCCCAGACCATAATGGAGCCACCTCCAAACTTCACAGTTGGTGAGACGAAGTTGGGCTCAAAGCCCTTGCCGTTTGGCCTGAGAACACACTGGCGCCCATCACTTCCATGGAGCTGGATCTTTGACTCATCAGACCAGATGACGGAATTCCAATCTGTCATTTTCCAGTGCAGATGTTCCTTAGCCTATTGCAATCGCTTTTTATGATAGATTTCCGAAATCTTTGGTTTCGGAATCATCTTTCAAGAGTATATTACAGTCTTGCAAAGAAACTTTCTCAAAGTTTTTACAGAAACTGGTGTGGGCAAGGTTCTAGCAATGGTACTCATTGGTGGTGTTGGATCATGGCTAATCTGAAGCATAATTCCTCTTTTGTTTCTCTCATTTAACTTTAAAGGTCTACCAGGTCGTGGTGCAGCCATATGTGAGCCAGTTTTTTTGTAGCTCTGAAGAACACGCTTCATCACGTCTTTGCTTACGCCTACTTTTTTGGCAATGTCAACCTGACTAGTGCCATTCTTAACACTCTCATAGACAATGATTGCACAAATTGTATTATCCGTGTTTTTATATCCATTCGTGGAAATTTTAGTAATCTTTTTTGTGCATTTGGTTTGATTGTTCATTTCATAAAATGTTAATTTAAGAGAAAAAGAGAAAGACTATTACGTTTGCTGATTTCGGCATTTAAAAAAAAGGCGATTCTTTTTGCCCCTCACTGTAGATCTTCTTAATGATCCTAGTGGTGCGCAGTTGTGGGAGCCATTTCATCAATTTGCACATTTGAATGATGATTTGGTAAAAGGTGTAAACGGCCCTAGTGTGAAGGATGCCTTAACTAGATACTATCAACAAACTTTGGGTTTGATGATTTCTGATATTAGTGATTATACGATTGTTGTTGCTGGTTGTTTATAGATGAATTTGACTGTGTATTTATCTTGCATATATCAACAAAGAAGAAATGAAAGAGGCCGCAGTAATCATTACGTGATATTTACCTGTCCTTACAGAAAGTAAGTATATAATTTTTCAATATAAAATTAAAAGTTGCTTACATTATATTTATTTATTTACTTTAGCAACCATAACATAATTGCTTACAGCTGGCTCGTTAGTGTGGTTGTATTCTTCTTCCAGCATGAGGATTCACTTGGCTCTCTTCATTTCCTTGCTTTTGTTGAAGTAATAAAGGAACATTACGTGGCTGCCAACGACTCATCTGTATCAACTGTCAAACAGTGGTTATAAAACAGCTCATCAGGCTGCCAAACACAACTCACATATGCAGTAATAAGTGCTGATAATATTTGTTATCAAGTTGGCCTTATACAATACCTACCAAATGGAAATCAGTTCTACGTAATTGCATCTTATTATGTTTTCAATAATAATATGTGCATTACAAAGGGCAATCTTTCTATTTTATAACTTTTTTTATTTTTTATTTTTTATATGCTCTATATACTCTATATTTTTTATGCTTTCTATATGTCCCATGTATTCTATATTATTATTTTTCTTTTCTATATACCTTATGTTTTTTTTATTTCTTATATACTCTATGTTTTCTATTTCTTTATTTCTCTATATGCCCTATCTTTTTTTTATTCTTTATACACCTTATGTTTTTTTATTCTCTACATGTTCTACATGCCGTTATGCAATTTAAATTAAAATAAAATTGTAAAGTGAACAAGAAGAGAAGTGTATCTTTTTTTAAAAAAAAGTTTTGGTTTAAAAAAAATAATGACAGTTATGTTTCTATTTCGTTCACATCTTCCATAAAAAATTAATCCAAGTAAAACTTGACATCTTTAATATTAAATAAAACATATATTTCAATACTTAAAGTGGTCATTACTACTTACAAACACGTTCTAGATTATTTGAGACATTGTACAGCAACAAAAAAACAGATTTCATGCTACTTTTTTAAAATGTTGCTAATAATATTGCCATCTTACCAAAAACTGCAGAGAAATTATTGGCTTTTGACCATAAAAATGGCAGTTATGTACCTATTTTGGGCACAGTTGCTACTCCTATAGCCATAGTGAATTATACTGCTACATTAATCTGATGTTTATGCTTTGCATATTACTTAATAGTCAACCAGATCTATTCATACCTTCAAAAATACTACTTTTATAGTGTTATATCTACTATTATCTTAGCTGCAGTTAACTATACTTAAAAATATACAAAATTATTCTGTATCTTTTTCATTTATTGGTATGACTAGCAAAAAAACTGCGCGGTCTTAAAATATATTCTGAAATAGAGAAAGAAAAATAATAAGGCTATCTAAGCAATGGAATCGGTTTGTGTGTCCTTTTTTTAGGTTTTTGGATCTGTAGAGAGTGAGTCCCCAGAAGAGCAAGTTGAAAAATTGAGGTTTGAGGGGTCGTAGGTATTGGCATAGAAGATATTTAGGTAAAGACGGATTTGATATCATATTGTCTAGATCTCTCACATTGAGAGTCCCTAGACAAATTGAATTGCCGTTCATTGAGGAGAGTTACTCAGGTGCACTAGAATCGATGAGGTGAGCATGTGGAGCAAGCCAAAATCAGATGTTCCTCCTGTTGGCAGTAACAACAATAGTCAAGCATAGTCTTAAAACAGGTCAATATGGAAGCGTTGAAGCATTCTCCAATATAAATTAAAGACTGTAGTGGGTGGATTAGAGACAGAGCTGAAATATTCAAGAACACTGCAGCCTTGCCATGTAACTGTCCATACTGAGCTACATAAGCACAAACATAGATGACTTTACTATAAGGCTCTATAGCATGTATGAGAGGATCACACAGATCAATCTCAACTTGACAGGCAGAAATATTGTAAAGATGAACCTTGATAATGTTTGAATCAGAAGAGAAACCAGAGAATGCAATGATCTGAGAGCCTTTGACAGTAGTAACATCAGTAGTGGCTTTTTGTCTTGTCTCATAATTGGGAAATAAAACTCCGAAAAAAAGATCCTTTCATTTGGAGCAATGTGAGAGGAAAGATTGTTATGTATGAGATAAAAATAAGGTATAAAATAAAGTAAGTGCAGACGAGAGTACGGTGAGACTTTGTTTTATTAGAAGAAGTGAAAGAATCAGAAAAGAGATGATGTTCTATTGCTATTAGTATTGTGTGTTTATATAGACATTGTATTTAGCTTGGTAATGATATGATGATATCATGTAATGTCTGTTTCTCTACCATTATCTTCTATGATTTAGTTCTTATGTTTTTAGTGTTATTGACTAGAGTCTTAGTATTTGTCTTAGTATGTTCTTTACGTAATTTCCTTGTATAAGGGAAGGTATATATTTTAGTATCGTTACTAGTTGTTGGTAACTCAATGTACGTATTTATTGAGTGTCTGTACTTTTAACTTAATTCTACGATTATGTTGGATATAACAAAGATGCTGTGGGTCCAAGTTGTTAAACCATGAGTTCATAGAACTCATCCTTAGAGACCATTTTTCCAATGCTGAATACAGCACTTACGGGGTTTATTCCTCTAGCCCAAGCAAAAACAGTTGCATTCCGGTTGAAGAGAACTTCACTTCCTGGAGAAGTGAAAAGCAATATTGTCTTATTAGGATGTACAAGGGACTGGATTGAGTAGTTGTGAATTGATGCATTCACTCCATCCCAAGAGCCTGCACATTTGTCAATGTTGAATACAGATGCAGGGGTAAACATTTGTATTCAAGATTTAAATTTGCAAAAATACTAATATATAAAGAGAAGCAATTATTTTCTACTTTCACTTTTGACAATAAAACAAATTATTTTATTTCAAATGTTATACATAACCATTATTTAATGTTCACTTGATCCACTTTAAATTCCAGATTTTGTACTTTGAGCATACGTACAAAGCATAGCTTGTCTTGACTTAAAATGTGCACAAAAGTTGTACTACATTGTTAATCTTCATCTTTCTTTGTCCACTTATTTAGCCTATTATTGCTCAAAGTTTTACTATGAAGATTATCCAACTCTCACTTCACCCAATTCCATTTTCTATAGGGTTACTTTGAGCACCATGTGGCTAGTTGTAGCTAATTTCATATCAGATTATGCTTAAATTTATATTACATTGTTAATCTCTATCATTATTAACTCTAGTATTTGGGTTATTTTAGCCAATTTTAAGCTGTAGATATTATTCAATGCTTGCTTGGTCCAATTTCATTTTATTACATGCTGTATGTAGCATATTACAACTTTTTGTAGTTAATTGTGTATCATACTATCCCTAAAGTTACACAGCACTGTTAATCTCTGTCATTCTCTATCCAAACATCTGGTTCATCTTGGCTCAATTTTCTGCCACAAACAGTATTTGATGATTACTGGGCAACATAATTTTTTAGAACGTTGCTTGTAATACATTACAGCTATATTCTTCTTATCTCTCAATTCAATTTCCCTCATGGTTATATCATACTGCTCATACTTGCTCTTTTTTATCTAAGCATTTAACTGTTATTGTTCTCTTAATTTTATACTGTGAATCTTGCTCAAGTATGATTGTGTTGGTTTGATCATGCTTCGGAATATAACTAAATTATATTGTTATTTTTTACCATCTCTTACATAAAAATTATACATATTATGTCTCATATTTGTACTATCTTTTCTAAGCAGGTGATCTGTACTGCATTATAGTTTACTTTATCTTGGTTTTTACTAAAATAAGCTCAAAGATATATTCTATTGTTACTCATAACTTTTTCAGTAAGTACTGGTTTTATCCATTCAATTGGCGCCCATTTCCATCTAATTAGAACCCATTGACATCTGATTGGCTTCCATAGAAATTGAATTTGCATCCATTGCCAACTGAATTTGCTTCCATTACCATCTGAAGTTGCTCCTCCCCTTTTACTATTGGCGGAAGGGTACATGGCACTCAAATTTTTTATCCTTAAGCCTTACAGTTTTTTTTATATAACTGTAGTATTTTTTTTTGTAAACGTCGTATTTTTTTGGCATAAAACATGGATATTTTTATTAGGTATAATTAGTTGATAGAGAAATAGAACACATAATAAGAAGTAAGATATAATGAAATACAAAGTAATAAAAAAAGAAAAGCATAAAGCAGTAAAACAAATAAAAAAGAGGGATATAAAGTGGTAAAAAAAAAAAGAAAAAGAGGGACATAAAGTAGTAAAAAATAAAAAGAAAATAAAAAAAGACATAGAGTGTAAAGAGCTTAAATAGACATAAAAGACATACTTAAAGCTTTTGCTCTCTGTTCAAACAGCGAGGAAAGAATGAAATGGCATGGTTAATCCAACCCAAACAGTCTAAAAGGGTGACAGTCTTAGCTGATTCTGTAATCCTTAAGATGAGCTCATCTGACTCTGTAATCTCTTCTCTGCGGACACCAAACTTGATCTTGGACCACATTTCCTCAATTGGATTCAGGAAAGGTGAATATACAGGAAGATATGTACACTTGTACCCATGGGAAGAAATAAAGTCTTTCACCTCATTGGCCTTATGGATAGGAGCATTATCCATGATGAGATAACGTCCTTGCATACCCTGGCTGTCCAGAACGTCCATTGTATGACTAAGAAAGTCGAGGTAGTGCTGGATCCTGGTACTAATTTGGCCATTCACCTCAACGTTGGTGTAGATATTTAACTTTCTCTTCTTTTTGGTTGCGACTGCAGTGGGTTTCTTCAATGAGAGACTGACAATCCCTCTCTTGCACATTGTACCAAGGATGGTGATGGACACACCTCTCTGCATCGGGACAGTTGTCTTAGCCAGGGTGCCACTGACGGAACGGCCAAAAGTACTCTTGATATGCATGTTGAAGTCTGCTTCATCAATAAACACACAGTTCGACAGATAGTTGAAATCTGCAAGTTGTTGCCACTCCAAAATGCGCTCTCGTCTCATTTCAATTGTGCTGATGTCATCTCTCTTCTCAGGCAGCTTCTCCAACTTCTTCATTGTCAGGGCACACTTCTTCACCAAGTGCTTCTGTATTGCTGATTTGGTAATCTGCAGCCCAGAGAACTCTTCCATGACAGCTATCCTTGCTTGTTCCAAGGTAGCATCTGGTTTATTTTTGAAAAACTTCAAAAAAAAGCAGAGTGCACCTGGAACAACTTTTGGTTGCCATTTTTTCGTTCTTTAGACGCAGAAACCTCTTCAACCTCCATCGTCTCCAGCCCATTGGACTCATCAGTCTCCACCGTGACAGCATCAAAATCGGCCTGGATCTTCTCTCTGGTCAGCCTGACGTAGTTCTGGGCAGTCTGGACATTGATGCCCATTTCTCTGGCAGCGGCAGCAGCAGTCTGGTTTTCTGAGAAAACCAAGGAGAAGAGCTTGTTCACCTGGTTTTGGTTGTACTTTTGGTACGAACCTCGACCTATGCTTTCTGCAGTGGGAACAGAATCAGGGTCAACCTTCTCTGGTAGATTCGTCTTCGGCTTCTGTGCAACAATGGTTTTGGTGGTGGCCTCGTTGACTTCAGTTGGCAAAAAACTTCTGAGACTTAAGAGGTTTGTGACTGCTGGGTTTCCAGCTGAGGTACGGGTCCATTCCATATTGGCATGGTTGACAAAGACATCTGTCACAGACCGGAGTACAACTTTTCCATGCATTTCGTCAACAATCTCTTGGTTGAAATCGCACAAGGGGTCGAAAGCAATTCCAGAAAACTGGGCTTGGTCTGCAGAACTGCTGTGACTGACCATTTCACAGTGCTTGTCCATAACAAATTCGAGGGAGTTGTTGGAAGTAGGCATCTTTTTTTGAAAATAAAAAGGGTGTTAAAATCGAGGAAGAAAGATAACTGAGAAACTTTTATTAAGACACTGGGGTATATATACCAAAAAAAAATATTTTAATAAATTAAACATTTTTACTAAGGTATAGTCTTATCCTGTTGTCTTAATATATTTGGATAAAGAACGTGTTGAAGAATAATGAATGTTTATATATTAAGCTTCTTCACACTTTTAAGAACATTTATTTTATTAGCCAATTTACAGTGCTACCAGAGCCTTTTTGATGTCCTGTCCTCTGTCTCGAAAGAAGGGGTGGGATTTTTTCTCATGGGTTTGCCCAACCAAAAAAAAATAAAAAAAAGTTTTTTTTGTATAGAGCCAAGGAAAAGCTCGAAATTCAGTTATTGAGATTTTCAGTTTTTCAGAAATTTCTGTGGTTAGATACCATTTTATTTTCAGTTATTAAGATTTTCAATTTTTCAGTTATTGAGACTTTCAGTTTTTCAGAAATTATTTGCAGAAAAATGATTATGTATATTATAAAAATTTATGAATAAAAATGCTAGTTATACTATTTGGAAAATTATTTTTAAAATTGCTATCACATTTTTCTTTTTTTTTATTTTTCTTTTTTTTTATTTCTCTTTTTTTTATTTCTTTTTTTTTATTTCTATTTTTTTTTATTTCTTTTTTTTTATTTCTTTTTTTTATTTCTTTTTTTTATTTTTTTTTATTTCTTTTTTTTATTTTTTTTTATTTTTTTTTATTTTTTATTTCTTTTTTTTTCATCTCTTTTTTTATTTCGTTTTTTTGTCACGAGCTTGTGCTATTTTTTGTTACTGTTTTTGTGTGTGTAATATTTGTTTTTTTTTGGTATTTTGTATCATGAGGGTTTTCAAAATTGATATCAGATAGTATTGTGGGCAAAGCATAATTCTTGGACCGCTTTCAGTTATTTAACAGATTGTTAGACATTTACTTGTTTTGAGTGCAGATTACAAAGAGTTGTTGAGTTTGATATTAAGAGGATCAGGATTCTGACATTGTAAAATGGTTGGAGCAGGTGCTGAATAAATATAGCATTTTTGGATTCTTTTTTGTAATGGTATCAGATGCTTGTGTAGGACCAGGCTCTAAGAAATACAATTGTTGTGGTAGTCAATCAAATTACTGGATATTTGAGATAAAAATTGGCAAGTTTTTGTGTGGTCGGTAGAGGGAATTTTACTGTTGGATTTCGAAAAAGTATGGTTGGTGAAATGTACTTAAAAGCATTATGAATATGTGTAGGCTGGTTCCTATTGTACAGGTAGATGTTTAATCTTGTAGTTTCTTTGTAGGCGAAGGGTTGAATCGTCACATTTTCTTTTCAGATTTATAGCTTTTGTTCAAAATACTATAGATTATTTAGAGATTAATATCAATGACTCCGAGGTATAGGCTTTATTTACATACAGAAACATAATGTGATCTGGAAATAATAAAAAAATTCATGAGATGTAGAGCTTTAAGCAGTGTTTTCATTGTCAGAGTAATATTTAGTTGTTGAAGTGAGCATGAGAATGAGATTTACTGCTGATTTAAGAAGAGAAATAAAGAGTCTTAGTATATAAACACCAAATGGAAAGAGAGAGAATTATGATATCTCTTTTAAAAAAGAATGTTTATAATAAATTTATGGCTGCAAGTAATATATTGTCCTATTTATTTTTTATCTCCTTGAGTTCAATTTGTACTACTTTATTTAGTGGACCTTGGAATATTATTTTTTGATATAAAAAGCTGAAAATATAATGACTAATACTATTTAACAACAACTCAATCTTCTTTACATCTATTCTTGCTGCTTCAACTTGTGTTCTGATTTTTATCTTGCATCTTAAATAATTACTATTTCATTATAACTACTATATACTAGATATAACTGTATTTATATAAAATATGTCACTTTAACATATCTTTCTATTTCTTATTTTTTCATCTTTTATTATCAGAAAACCCTAAAATGTTACACGAGAAACTTGAAGAATATAACAGTGCCTTTGAAAAAATCATGGAAGAGCTTGAAGAGCCTGAAAAGCCTGAAGATCCAAAAAGTTCTGCCCCATCAACAACAGACGAAACCCCCAAAAAAAGTAGAGGGCAATATCAAAAGCCTACAGATAAAGATATAAAAAAGCTTTTTTATCTCTACTTCATAAGGGGATTAACTATCAAAAAAGCCAGCAAGATAGTAAATATGAAACAAACAACTGCTGGTGGCTATATTTTGAAGTGGAGAAAGTCTCCAGTTGTTTTTTTCATTAAAAACAACAAGGAGGCTACAAGTGATGAAAAAATCAATCTTTCATTCGAAACTTACTCTGCAATAAAGAAAGAATACAAATAATATCATTGCATTTTCAATTTTAACATAATTATTATAATGAGATACTTGCTTTATTATTTTATAACTGCAGTAAGGTATTTAACTTCAACAAAGTAATCTGGAGAAAAGTTTTCATATTCTGTTAGTTCTCTCTATAGATATTTTCTATGATGTATCTTTGTAGAAAGATCTACATATATTGAAGTGCTATTACATTAGGCGTTTGGCACTTATATAAAAAAATATGGCACTTATATAAAAAAATATGGCAGTTATATAAAAAAATACGACGTTTACAAAAAAAAATACGACGTTTACAAAAAAAAATACTACGGTTATATAAAAAAAATATGACGTTTACAAAAAAAAAGTACAACATTTACAAAAAAAAATACTATGGTTATATAAAAAAAATATGACGTTTACAAAAAAAAATTCTATGGTTATATAAAAAAATACGACGTTTACAAAAAAAAAGTATGACATTTACAAAAAAAAAGTACGACATTTACAAAAAAAAGTACAACGTTTACAAAAAAATACTATGGTTATATAAAAAAATTGTAAGGTGTAAGGATAAAAAATTTGAGTGCCATATACCCTTCCGCCAATAGTAAAAGGGGGGGAGCAAATTCAGATGGCAATGGGAGCAAATTCAGCTGGCAATGGATGCAAATTCAATTTCTATGGAAGCCAATCAGATGTCAATGGGTTCTAATTAGATGGAAACAGATGCTAATTAGATGGAAATGGGCGCCAATTGAATGGATAAAACCAGTATTTTTGCCACAATTACAAATTTGTTTTCATAGATCAGTGTAGTTACTAATTTAGTATACTTGTTATTAAAGCATTTGATATCTTTTGAAGGTTTTAATATTACTTACTTACTTTAATTTTGAGTTACTATATTAAATTTATTGTGATATGGCAAAGGTTTAGAAATAATATAAAAGAGCATTAAAAATTAATTTTTATATCCATATATTTTTCAATTATTTTAAAAGTCATATTTAACTTTAACAAGATCAAACAATCTCAAATGCCCAAATAGTTGACAGTTCTTCCTCGCAGTTCTGACTTCATGGAGACATTTGAAGGGAATGCTGATGACTGCAATTTAAATTACCATCCTATTCAGACAAGGCCTGTCAAGAAAAGCTGCTATGCCTTTATTAAAAAACCAATATATATGGAAGGTGTCAGCACACAAGACAAGGTTTCGGATTTTGAAGATTTGATTATGCTTGAAGATAAACCAAAGGGGAAGCAATGCTACAAAGCTTATACAGAAGAGGAAACTTTGCTGGTCCTGAAGAAGTATTTTGTTGATGAGATGACAATGTCAGAAGTAGAAAAAAGTATAGATATATCAAGATCAACAGCTGGTTGGGTTATAAGACATATAAGAAGTAGATTAAACCTACCAGCTAGAAAATCCCATATGCACAAGTATGCCAGTTTAGAAGAATATGAAAAAACACTATGCAAAAATGTTCAAACTATGCTTTTACAAAAAAAACTATGAATAAACTATATACTAAAATTTATATAAAACTTATAGTTACAATATTCTTTCATTAAAAAAAGCAAATATATGTGATAAGAAGCATAAAACAGAAATGCAAAAAATTAAAACCTATATTGATAAATTATATGACAGAAGTAATATGAAGCTTATAGATATAATATTCTTTTATTAAACATATAAGATATATACACTTTCTGAAAATTATTAGTCAAAAATAAAAATTGATTTGGTGCAAGAATAAATATAAAACTTGATGCAATTTTCTGTCATTTCTCTTCTTAATTCACCTTTTTTGATGCATTTGGTAAATTCCATTTTCTCACCAAATCGATTTTTATTTTTGCACAAATAATATCCGGAAAATGTGTATATCAGCAGACAAAACACAGAAACGCAGAAAATAAAAAATAATATGTAATTTAGGTTTTTTTATTGCAATTTACATTTATATTTTGTTCAAACAAGCTTTGCAAATTGAGGCCAAAATAAAAATTAAAAGCGCAAATTAAAAATGTAAATTAAAAAAAATATGCAAATTTAGTAGAATAGAATGTGAAGTATTTGTGATGTATGTGTAGGTGTATAGAAGAAGAGATGTAGTAGACGTGTAGGAATAAGTGAGATTTAGTGATGTTTGAGTTTTTATTAGAGTAGAAATAGGAAAGAGTTTTTGGTATCAATTAAGATTAGATTCTAAGTATGTCAGTTACATGCTCTTTTATAGATTTCTTCTACCTTCAGGTCCGCTAATATAATTGGTCCCTGAGATTAATGTTGTGTTTATTATTGGACTTGTTTTATAAATTTTTCTGTATGGCAGCAAACTGATTCTAAAAAAAAGCAAATTCTTTTTTATAAACTGTCTGTTGTGGTGGTTGAAGTTGAAGAAGTTTTTAAGAGGAAGAATTCAAGATTTGAAATTAGGAACGAAGATTCGTGAGAACTTGTGTAGGTTTTGTTTATTGAGAAAGATTTTGTATCAAAGTTTGACCAGGTTCCTACACTGAACTACTACTGCTATTTATATTGTTTTGGATTGGGAAAATTATATGACTGGGGTCAGGTAATCGATCCTATCTGAGCCTTAATCAGAGCAACGTGATCTTGGGATAATTAATGTATGATTAATTATATAAATGTGTGTAGTCCCAATGAAGTATTAACATCGAAAGTAAATGTGTTTATGAGTTATAATTATGCTTATAATAATCCACTGATGTATCCCATATTATGGTGATATCATCATATGAAATATAATCACTATCATGCATGCTAAACCTGTGTGTTAAATAATAAAGTAATCGGTAGACACCTTTGACTGGAATAGCTGAGGCCTTATATTATTTCCTTCAGACTTATTCTCAATTACAGCAGTAGTCAATACTCATTTACAACACTGTCAACTTTTTTTTAAAAAAATGATAAACTTATTTTTATAAACCGTAATCAAATAGGAAAAATTTAGTATATAGTTATATCTTCATTGAGTTGAGTTGTGCGTTAGAAGGCTGCCTTTGCAAGACATTTTTTACTTACATTATATAAGAAACAAAACAATTGTATATATTTTCTTATTTGAAATCTTGCCAAAGTCGTTTTATATACTGAAAATCGTTGCCTTTACTAAATTTTAACAGAATTATTTTTCATTACTTAATACAACCTCCACATTTTCTTATTCAATGTTTTGTCTTACTTGAACAGCTATTTGTTATGATCAAAAAAGTTTGAAGTAGAACCAAACCTTCTTTCCTCCTTTATTTGGAAAAAAAAAAATTCAATTCATAAAATTACATAACGAAAAAAGATTTAGGCCAATAATATTGCTTTGATGCCATACTGACATGTAGGGTACTTGAGGGAGCAGATGTAACTAATTACAAGTCTACTATGAAGAAGGACGCTCTAGTTGACTAGTGTTTATAGCCGGGTTACTAGCTAGCAAGGGTTGTATTCCCAATTGGAGGCGTGGTAATGAGGGTTAATAAACTACAGTTAAGAGGAAACATTCTTCAGACAATAGAACTGCACTCAGTATTTAATTAGGGGCGTCAAATAATATTTATGGCTAGGCGTATGGGGATGGAATCAGTTGTCAAAATGAATAAAAATGGGAAAGTGTTTTTAACGAGATAAAAAGATTACTTTATTGTTCTTAACTAAACTTCCTCTAATAATGGCCTGCTCTGCCACCTTCGTCTATCTACTTTACATTCACTTCAGTCTTCTCTTGTAACTTCTCACTTTCTCTGCAGTGTGGTGGCCACTGTTATCTTTTTAGAAAAAGAAAGAAAAAAGAAAGTGCAGACGAGAAGTATGGTGAGACTTTGTTTATTGATGAAAAGAGAAATGATCTTCTATTGCTATTTGCTATGTGAGTTTATATAGACATTGCGTGTGTATTTATGATAATGATTTGAATATATCATGTGATGTCTGTTTTCTTATATCTTAGATAATATATTGTTAAGTTGTTACCCATGCTCTTGTTTGAGTGATTAGTGATGTTGATTAAGGTGTGTGACCTTGTTATCGGTATATTCTTTATTTAATGATAGTGTGAAAAATAATGTATAATTGATACTAGTTGCTTATTCAATATGTCTTTGTCTTATTGTCTGTGTGCTTTATTTGAATCTACGATTATGTTAGATACAACAGCCACCAACCGCCATGCCTACCGTCTCAATACACTATCATATTTGGTTTCTAATATCTGTGGTGGTTTACATATATATTTAATACTTTTCATCTAATTTAGTCTTTTTTTTCTTTTATAGTGTAATTTTTTAATAATTGCAAATTTTAAGATTTGTGTCAATTTTTTTATTTCAAATGCCAATATATGAAAATAGTATTAAATGTCCGCCAGTTTTTTAAAAATTCTAAATATTGAACTTTATGCAGTCACAAATTTATATATTGTCATGAGCATATCATTCCTAGAATCTGAATTCTAATCTGGCCAATCCAATTCAATTTTTCTCAGAAATACTACACTCTGCTGGAAGTTTCCAATACCTAGTAACTTCTAGCAAAATCCCTTTAAGATAGTATAAATACAAATTGCTTCATCGAAATAAAACATTATCTTTATTCTTCTGAAAAACTACTCTTGTGATATCTTCCAGCCGCTTCAAAGGCAACTTCCAATCCCAACATATCACACTTATTTTATGGTGGAGAAGCTTTGCTTAAAAACCCCCTGAAAGATCCCAAAACCACTACTTCCTGCAATTCCTGTGCAACTACTTCCTGCAATTCCTGTGCAACTAATTCCTGCAATTCCTGTGCTACTACTTCCTGCGATCTCTTACTCCTGTTAATCATTTTGTTAATAATTGCCTGCCATGTCCAAGTCTTCCAAAATCAATGTTAAGATAATTGAAGCCTTGAACGATATCGTTGTTCAAAACCGCTACTCTGCCCTACAGTCAATGCGCCTGATATATAATTATGATCCGTCCCAAAATATTGAACTCTGGCTGCGGTTATTTGAAGCCAAAGCCAATCGACTTAGTTTGGATACCCAAATGAAGGTGGATCAGCTACCTTCATACTTACCCATAAATATGGCACAGTGGGTCCTGTCGAATTCAGATCTCGACACCTGGGATAAGACGAAACGTGCACTGATTGACACTTTTGGCATCCCTCTTGCTCAACAGAAACTGACCTGTTGTAAACGACTCGAATCGCTTCACCAAGGGAACCTACCGTTGAGACAGTTCAAGGCTGTCTTCCAGTCAATCGTTCAGAATCTCCCTGAAGGGACTACAATTCTGGCAAAGGTTTTACGTTCGATATATCTCGGTGTCATGAACCCTCGTCTCATGGATAAAATCATTGCCCAAATTACTACTTCCTCTACCTGGAGGGACGTGGCGGACAAGGCTATCACCATGGACGAAATACTGAACGCTGACCCTCGCCTCGCAGAAGCTTACTTATATTCCAACGTTCCGGCCGACACCTTCTCTCATCAGGGCACCTTCACAGCTAGTGGCTCCGGCCCTGCCCCTATGGAAATCAACGCTTTCCAACGTAAGCCTACTTCCTTCGATAGAAACACGTCCTGCAACAATTCCTCAAGAAGCAAGTTCAACCAATGGGTGCGACCTGGCGTTCCTCTCTGTGGCTATTGCAACGAAGAAGGCCACCTATCCAAGCGTTGCCAGAAGAGACCTAGTAGATCAAACCAGGTTAATACTATTCAAGATATCGCTCCTCGTGACGATTCGGTTACCCTGGCTCCTCCATCCAATAACTGGTCCTCCTTTGGGTCCCTGCTGCCTGCTGTCCCTACTGATTCTACAGCTGTACCTCGTCTGGAAGTCAACTACTGCGCGGTTCCCATGGTTCAAGACGCTCTATACAAATCCTTCAAGGCAAACATTAGTAACATGTCGGCCTCAGCCAGTCCAGCCCCCTCTCTCTTGAACAAGTCTTCCTTGTCGAGAATCTCGAGTCCTCAACTTAGCTGCACCATTAATGGCGTTACTACCACTTGTCTGATTGACACAGGGGCAAACATCTTGGCTATTTGCACGGACCTAGCCAAGAAACTGGGACTCCAGGCTGATGATCTCAAGACCCTTGTGTTTTCCACTGCTGCTGATACATCAGTCTCAACCTGGGGATCCATTATGATTAACATTTGTTTTGGTAGTCTTGTCCTGGCTGTGCGTTGTCATATTGTCGACTCTCTCTCTCATCCTGTTATCTTTGGTTACGATGCTCTTCAGGAAAACCGAGCTGTAATTGACGCCTGCACCAGCAAGGTTAAGTTCTCTCCTGGTACTCGATCTCCTGATAAAACGTCCAACACAAGTATGGCTTCTACAATCGCACCAGCTACCCCATGCCGACTCAAGAATACCCTGATGCTTCCCAGTCATAGTCACTGTTATGCGGAAATAACTGGTCCAGCCAATTCGATCTGCATGGTCTCTACTCCCTCAAATGTGGTTGCCAAAACACTTGTCTCTGTTGCTGCT